AAAAACAATACCAACCAAAAGTAAAAAAAATAAAAGGCGCGGCAGCAGAGGAAGATGTCACGACCAACAGTCACTAGCACAGCCGGGAGACGGGACTCTTCCCCCCCTGCACCTCGGGGCCCCGGGCCTGGGCACAGAGCCAGTCTTTGGGGCCTTGTGAAAGGCCAGCGGGGTGGGGGCCGCCCTGATCTCCGGAGGGAGAACGTTCCATAAGGTGGGTGCTACGGCCGAAAAGGCACGTCTTCTAGGCCCTGCCAACCGGCATTCCTCAGCCAACGGGACCCGGAGCGTGCCCTCCTGCCTGACTGGATCGGACGGGTAGAAACAACTGGGAGAGACGGTCCCTCAAGGAACCCAGTCCCAAGCCATGAAGGGCTTTAAAGGTGACCACCAGCACCTTGAATTGCACCCGGAAGGACACCAGCAACCGATGCACCTCACTGAGTGGAGCTGTTACATGCACTGAATACAAATAGTCCTTGCTTAGTGACTGCAATTTGGACCAGCAACTCTGTTGCTACTGTCGCTAAGCAGAAAATCACGTGGCCGTGATGGGCTTACAATCTCACTTCCCCTTCAGTTGTTAAGCGAATCACCACGGTTGTTAAGCATTAAGTTCAGGTGACTGCGACTTGCGATTTCACTGCTCGTTTCTCCGTTAACTCTGCTTGTCGCAAGCAGGTTACGAAGCACACAAACGGTGATCCCATGACTACAGGATGCTGCGACATCGTAAATGTGAGGACCAGTCGTAAAGTTACTTTTTCAGGGCTGTCGTAACTTTGAATGGTCACTAAACAGGGCAAGAGAGGTCTACCTGTAGAGGAAACTCCTTTATACCAGGATATCTTATCAGATCCCTTTAACTCAGGTTAATTTTTTCCACCTGAGCTTTTTCTCCATTGAATAGAAACCTCTGAAAGAGTTCTAGAAGTAAGTAGTCCCACCACGCAAATTTCATGAGATGCTTGAATGCACTCGTAGAACCCTTTCACAGAGTTATGATTCGCAGCTCTTGGCTGACCAGGAAAAGCTTATTGTCCCCAGCTTCTTCCTTCCTTCCTGTCTGTCTGTCTGTCTGTCCTGTCCTTCTGTCTTTCTATCTATCAAATTTGTATGCCGTCTATCTCCCCCGGAGGGTGACTTTAGGGGTGACGGAAGCTGCCTCACCCTGAACGCTGCAACTAAACGCTCCAATTGCTTTGCATAATACAGTTGTAGAAAGGGCACCCCATGGTGCTGCTCCCAAAACGAAAGCCCAAGAAAGAACACCCCCTGCTTAAGACCTCCTTGGTGGAAGAAGCTGGGTATTTTGTACAGATACTGCAAATAAATTGCATCCCTGCTGGAACAGCCAAACTCTTACCTTGTCACTTGTCTGCCTCTCGGCCGTCACACACTAGCCTCGGTGAGACCGTGGGGGAAGCCAGATGACGCCCTTGCTGGTCTTCCTCTCCGCCTGCTGCCCTCCATAGTCATGACAGGCTGGCTGGAGAAAAGCAGAAGGAAGATCTAATTTTCCCAGCGTCGAGGGGAGAAATATGTGTGTGCTAAAAAGGCACCCAAGCGTGAACCGATCTGGACTGCAGTGCTCTTAGAGGGACCTCGGTCTTTTTGTTCACTTACACGTGACATGATGGATGGTAGATGAGCAGCTCCCCACTGATGGTCCACGAGAGCCCTGCAGGTAATCTTTGGCGCAGCCAGGCAAATAAATATGGCTATGTTTATAAAACGGCCAATGTTCTAGGACAGTGTTGTCCAAACTTGGCCACTTTAAGATGAGTGGACTTCAATTCCCAGAATTCCCCAGCCAGCCATGAATTTTCTCTTCAATTCTGGGAGTTGAAGTCCACTCATCTTAAAGTGGCCAAGTTTGGACAACACTGTTCTAGGAGGTCATCGATTTGCACAGCCTCTTAAACATTCTCCCTCAAAACCTCAGGAGACGGCGTTATAAACAGCTGCAAACGTTGTAAGGTCGCCCGTTATCCTGCAATTTCCATTGTGTTTGGATTAAAGACAGTAATTAACATGTATTTAATCTGTGGGTCGCAGAGGCCCCATAGGGGCAAAATCACAAGGGCAGGGCTTTTTCCAGACCTCCTGTCTTGTTCATCCCTGCCTTATGCGAGGTTCCTCAAAAGTTTTCCGCTCATCAAGATGACGGTGCAGCCCACCTAAAAGAAACGTTCAGGAGCTGCTAATCTCGTTGAAGGATCATAAGACAATTGGGCTATTCTGTTTTTTATTCTGCTTTAAGTGTTAGCCCCCCAGAGTTGTGAATATGAGATGGGTGGCCATATCGATTTATTAAATAAATAAAATCAGTCGGGGGAGTTACTGGACGAGAGACAAGACTTTTTGATTGCTGTTCCTCTTTCTTTCTAACCCTTTCAGGTGGACGGAGATTCGGTTAGTGGCATCTGCTTTGTAGGGTACAAAAACTACCACTATCGAGCAGGATTTGTTTTGGCCCCCATCGGCCTGGTGTTAATTATTGGGGGCTATTTCCTGATCAGAGGTGAGTTTCTTTCCCCCTGAATTCCATGGCTTCGCTTCCCTGTGCTCAGAGATGCTGGCTGTGTCCTCTAAAAGCCAACCAGTAGGACATGGGCTGGGGAAATAAGGACTTCTGCTTTTTCCACGCTCCAGTCCTCGGTTGTCAGCCCCACTAGGTAGACCAGACCAGGAAATCAACTCTACAAAAAGGCTAGATGACTGAGAGGGGCTACACTAACAGAATCGTGCAAGTCTGATGGTGCCACGCCTCCTCCCCTTCATTCTTCCGAATGTTATCTCGTCATTCTGGACTTAAAAAATGCTTCAGCCCCTTCGGCCTAGGGAACTGTTCCTGCCTATCTCCATCAAGGTCATCTTCCTTACCCTTTACATAGACTTCTTCACTAGCTGAGTGATATTCTCTTTATGAAGAAACTACTGCATTGGCAGACATAGAGTCAGAGAACTCAGTGCATACGTTGAAATTTAACGGACCCCCTTTTGCAGACTTTTGCAGACGCAATGGACCAGATTTCCTTCCACAAATAACAGACAAGTCCATTGCATTGCAAGTAGTCCAGACAAGGTAGTTAATTCTATGTTAATGTTAAGACATCTATGATGATGGACATCCGTTTATGTCATATCTGTAAGTCGTTGTGCAAATGATGTAAATTGTTGCAATGATGTCCTTCCATATTTAACAGGCCTTTGGGAAGGTCAGACACCCCCTCGCCCCCCAAAGGTCTGTTAAAATGAGGTTTCACTAATTTTTTTGAAAGGTCCATTTTCCTACATGTATTCCCATATTTCTGGGATGAATTTATTGTCATTTTTTCCTAAAGTATTCAAATCATACACTTGAGGTTGCTGGAAGTCAGTCAGTAACGTAAATAATGAGGGCAAAACAGCGTTGATTAACTTTTGAACAGAGTTGTACGAAACCTTTCAAGTTCAAAAGGTGAAGAATTTTATTCCTAGCGGTTCTGATTCATTCTGATTTATTTAGCTACTTCTAAATAAAGATGGAAGGAAAGGCAAGCAGAAAGGCTCTGTTCACACTAACTCCTAGGCTTGATTGAAATAGGGTTCAGGCAGGGGCATTTGGGGGGAGTGGGAGTCAAAAAAGCCATGGCTGCCATTTTGATTTTTTTGACACTTCCCCCACCCTGCTTGGTGTCCCTGTGGAGGCCCCTGGTGTGGGACAGCTGTCGTTCATCTTGTTTGGAGAAACCCAGCCCTTGTCTTTGGAGGTCAGATGAACCAGGTCATCTAACGTTCCACGTTACATCAGCACAGCAGTTGTGTTTTATTGATTTGGATTGTTCACCATGGCATATAATAATGGACATTGGCTAAATTAAGAGGTTAATTTGTTTGATTGTTTGATTATGTGCCATCAAGTTGGTGTCGACTCTTTGCAACCACATAGACAGACTTTCTCCAGATTGATCTGACCCAAACTTGGCTCTTCAGTCATCCAGTGGTGCACCCATTGCTGTAATTGAGTCCATCCACCTCAATGGATGGTGGTCCTCTTCTTTTCTTTCCTTCCACTTTTCCAGCATTACAGACTTCTCAAGAGAGCTAGATCTTCATGTTGACCGATTGATTGATTATATACCATCAAGTTATTGTTGACTCTTAGTGACCACAAAGGTAGATTTTTTCCAGAAGGATCAGTCTCCAACCTGGTCATTCAAGTCTTCCAAAGGTGTCCCCATCGCCACTCTGAGTCTATTCACCTTGCTGTTGATCGTCCTCTTTTTCTCTTTCCTTACACCTTTCCCAGCATTAGAGCTTTCTCCAGAGACTAGGTCTTCTCATAATGTGTCCTAAGTAGGATAATTTGAGTCTAGTCATTTGTGCCTCGGGTGAGACCTTTCGGTTGATTTGTTCAATGATTGATTTGTTTGTTTTCTTCGCTGTCTGCAGTATTCTCAGGAGCCTTCTCTAACGTTAAAGTTCAAAAGTGTCAATACTCTTCCTGTTCTTCTCCAAAGTCCAACTTTTGCTTCCGTGAGTGTATCACAGGGAATACCATGGCTTGCAGAATCCTGATCTTTGTAGGCATAGACACATCATAACATTTGAATATCTCTTCCAAGGCCTTCATGGCTGCTCTACCAAGTGCTAGTCTGTGTCATATTTCTTGACTGCTGGTTCCTTTACTATTAATAGTTGATCCGGAAAGGCAGAAGTTATCTACCACTTTGATATCTTCTTTAGCAATTCTAAAAGATGTGAATTTAATTTAATCTAAACAATTAAGTTAAACTAACTAAGAACTCTCCCAATTTTTCAAACAGTGATCCTAGCACCATGAAATTAAGACACTCTTTTTCTAATGGATGTTTAAGGCAAAATTGTATTATAACAGGCAGTTCAGTTTGTGTGAAAGTAAAGCTGGCACTTGTTCAGTGTGTTGATGGTGATGATGACATTATTGTATTGTGCTTTCTTTGGGACTGGAAAGTGTAAGACTTCATGTTCTCATTCCTGTTAGTGCAAGAATGAGAAGGTCCTCAGGAGAACCTTTGAGGCAAAGGACCTTTCCTTTCCTTTTTTAATTTCTCCATCTCTTAAAATTTCTCCTACAGGTTAACCTCCAAAACACCTGTCTTAACCTCAACCATCTTTGGTGGAACCTAGTGTATTGCAGACGTAATTCCATGAGGCCTAGAATTCTAGATTTTGGGGGGGGGGTTGTTGTTGTTCTCTTTAAGATAAACAGTCGCCACAGGCAAGGACACCAGATCTTCTGCTTGTTGCTCTTCTTTAGACGGTCACGGTTGCAAGATGCTAACGCACTGCCTGCTCTCTCCTCCAGGAGTGATGACTCTGTTCTCCATCAAAAGCAATCACCCAGGCCTCTTGAGCGAGAAAGCTGCCAGCAAGATCAATGAGACCATGTTACGTCTTGGTAAGTAGACTGATGGGCAAGACACTGGAGTAGGGAGGAGGAGGAGGGGGGGGTCCATTGCTCACGGGTACAGCTTGGGATTGGCTGATGGAGAATCCCTTTACCCTTCATGGGAATCTCAAATTAAAAGGAGCCAGGTGGCACCTAACAAATGTTATTAGAAAGGATGAGCTTTCATGAGCTGCAGAAGGTCTGGTAGCACCTTTTCAGACTAACGCATTTTATTCAGAGGCATCAGCTTTTCTGAAAAGGTGCTGCCAGACTCCTCCTGATTTTTGACTTCTATAGATTAACACGGCTCTTTCCTTGGCACATCTAAGTAAAAGGGTCTCTCTAAGATCTCTCCCTGCCCAAAGCCCCAAAGAGTGACTCCACTCAGAAGAGACGGTGGTTGAGTTTGTACAACATGCTGGCTCCGGTTCCTAATTTAGCCTGCTTTTGGGATTTGTACAATACACTGAATAATGAACTTACTGGATGGGTTCGCACAATTATGGAGCCATAAAAAAGTTAACCAAGGTTAAAACTAAGAAAATTTAACAAGTACCTGCTGGGTTGTTAATGAACCTGATTAAGGGTGTTGTAGCTAGGATCCTAAGGTGCCAACTCATAATATGGCTTGTTTTGGCCAGTTGTCTCTGAACCAAGTCATTGTGGTTGGAAACGTGGCTTGTTTCTTAATAGAATGTGTCAATCCAGCCACTGTGGCTAGGTTAGCAAGCCATGATTAAAATAAACCACCACTTGGCATATTGCTTGAATATTGAGTCCATGTAGAACACTTTCTCTGAATGGTTGTGCTCGGTGGGAATAATTGGAGGTGTAGTCCAACAGAATTGGAGGGCGGCATGTTGGGGAAGGCTGAGGGGGTACCTCCTGACACCAATTGTGTAAGAGTAGAGACAGCAAGGAATCCATACAACTGTTCTCTTTACTGCCTGTGTACTGATCCCCCTAAAAGCTGCTTTCATGCAACACCCATAACCAGGTCCCTTAAAGATCTAGCAGATGATTCACACCACCCATGAAGCTTGGTTAGTTTTAACCTTGGCCCAATTTTTTGTGCTTTACGGAGTTGTGTGAACTAACTCCTTTAATTAGTTTATGGATCCACATATTGTGTAAGTGCATAAAAAGAATTAATTCAGGAATGGAGTTGATGTGATAGAATGGTTTGATGAAGGCCATGCTCGGGGAGATCAGCATTTCCTTAGCCCCCAACAGGAGCGTGGGAAGGTTAAGAAGATGCGACTGGCACCACCCTGAGGAATTCACAGTGTTTTGGCTGGCTGGCTTGGGATGTTTAGATTCAGTCTGGAGAGATTCTCTCTGAGAGGCTGAAGCTAATAAATGCAACAGAACTGTATCTGTACTGTCTCGTGGAGTTCTTTGGGCTGAACCTGACAGTTAATGTCTCATGAATGCAGCTGCTTCTCAGGGCCTCCCAAGTATTAGAGGTCCCTGACTGCCATGTTTTGTCACCAGGGATTTTTGGCTTCCTGGCCTTTGGCTTTGTCTTCATCACTTTTGGCTGCCACTTCTACGACTTCTTCAACCAGGCGGAGTGGGAACGGAGCTTCCGGGAGTATGTGTTGTAAGTTGGGAGGCGCCTGTGTTCCTCCATTGGCTGCTTCTCTGGGTTGCACAGCCCAGCGTGGATTTGCAGAGGGGGGGTTCCCTCGATGACGGATGGGCTTCCAGCGTCACTCCATGCTTCAGAAAGAAATGGACTCCAGAGCTTTCAGACTGAGCCCCCTTCCCCTGGTGGCAGTTGTATAAAGGACCCCCAGGGCCCTGGTCGCCCCACCCCCAGGGTCCAGAAACCAGAGCCAAGAAAGGCCTCCTTTGCAGAATGCGGGACAGCTCAGCTCAGTTCGGGGCCCTGAAATCCAGATTCTGGATCACTTGCATAGGAATAGAATCCTGGGTATGCTTCAAGCTTCAGAGGGATCCTTCAAGGAGGTCTTTTGCGGCTTTATTCCCAAATTCTGGTCACTTAAAACAGCTTCTTCCATCCTGGCATTACATTCTGGATGAATCGAGACTCTCGTTCTCATCCAATCTCTAATCAAGCGAAGGAGTCTAGTTTTCCTGGCCATGCGCTGTCACGTTCAACATTTATTTATTTATATTTATTAATCATATTTATATGGCCTCCCATCTCATGCAACGTGATTCTGGGCAGCGTACAAAACAACCATAAAAACGAACTTAAAAACATTCAAAAGTACAAAAAGTTAATATTGTTATAAAAGGTTAAGAGAGAGGATCCGATTATGAGCAATGGAGCCATCTAAACAAGTGACCTTTCCTCTTCCAGAGATAACTGCTTGATCTTCACAAATATGAATTGATCAATGATCAGCAACCATGATCAACCTTGGCATTTAAGCAAGACGATACTGTACTTAGATTGTACAACTCCTTTTGGCCCACGGGCCTCATTTAGGTTGAGTGATATCCCAGAAGGATGGGCAGGGTCTGGACAAAAAAAAAATACTGAAATATAAAATTCATTAAAATGTCGTTAAATGCAACTTACCAGATTCTTTGCATGTGTGAAGGAACGTGATGGATGCACGCAACTTCCTGATCTTCAGGAAATTAGTGAAAACATGCCTTGAGGGCCCGTTTGCTCTAATGGTCCCTCCTGAGGATTAACTGTGTTTTTTTTTTCCTGAGTACGTCTCCTGCTTTTATGTTCTTACAATGAATGAATTTGTTTTTAGATTGTATTGTTTTAATCCCAGTTATGGTTTGGGGAGTTTAGATAGCCTGTTGGAGCAGCCTATCAGCTTGTAAATCAGTGTTTCTCAACCTTGGCCACTTTAAGCTGGGTGGGCTTCAACTCCCAGAATTCCCTAGC